TCGCGGAGAAGAATCGCTTGAGCTCCTGAAAAACACAACGAGAACACCGCACTGTGTGTTTGTTTGTACTGCACCAGTGTCATTGTGTTTATCTACAGCAGCATTTGGCTAAATTTATAACAATCAGGACTGGATTTCCAGCGAAGACAACTTCATCGGAGACCCCTAAAGTTCAAGCTGACGCTGACTCCGTGTAATTTGCGTTTACATATTTGGTTGTAAACCCTCCATCCTGTGACCCATCTCTTGTGAAGGGACTCCACCGATATATTGTGGATTTAGTTTATATTATGTTTCTGTTTTTTTTTTAAGTTAGGGCGGCACCTCAGATTAGCTCCTCAGATGGATTCATGCACGGAGTTTGTATGTTCTCCTTATGCTTGCGTGGGTTCTAATAGTTAATTGGTGATTCTACACTGAGCGTAGATGTGAGTGTGAACATTTCGTGGCAAGCTACAGGAACTGCTGACCACTACATCGCAGGTAGTTGCAACGTGTTTGTGATTCAAGATGGCAGACAGCGCGACCTCAAGCCCCGTGAAAACTCAACTGGTAGGTACGGTGAGGTAAATTAAAAACTTAATGAACCACCACCAAGCATCTATTTCTACTCCATGGTCCTCAGAAGTATCTCTAGGTCCTTATGATGTAAACTCTTCAGTGCTGTTTAGCAAAACAAACCTTGGATCAGTTTGGCACTCAGCAAAAGGAAGTTAAAACTTAAATAAGTCATCTCAAGTACCTGTTACCATCTCTGGACAGGGTATCTTTGGATGTATATAATGACTCCTCCAAGAACCAGGATTGTTTTTAGCAACCCAAAATTTTGAGCCCATTTTTCTCTAAGACTAGTAAATGTGGTTTGGTTCACTTTGGCACTGAACCCCCTCAAGTCTAATGTATTCTAAAGTTCATAGCAAAATAAAAAACTCCATCAAAGTGAATTATGTCATCAGGACACTTGGGTCGTGACTCATGAAACTGTGAGAACAACATTGCTGAATGGAGATGAGCTAAAAATGAAACTCATCTTGTTGGCAATCAGCAGGCTGCTAAGATTGCCTATAATTATGTTCATATATGACATAGAAACAACATCGTACTTACATATAAATATATCCAGTATAATGATAGAGACTTGCTTTTCACCTCTGCACACACACAGACTTAGTCATATGCAGCCTGATAGACAGAACACGGTTCAATTACTGTGAAGGTTAAAGGTGAAACTTTATCAGTGGCTGGATTAAATAGAGGTAAATGACAGCATGGGATTCAATCAGCTCAGGCTGTATGGCAAGAGCCTCTCATAAACATCGCCATCTCTCATCATTACGTGTAAGTGTTTAGGGTCACTTAGCAGTTGGAATACAAAGTGCCATAAATGTGTTTTCCTCCCAAGCTCGGCGCTATCGAGGAGATCGCTCCTTTGGTTGAAAACACGTTGACACAAAACATTTGCAATTTAGGATTTAATTAAACGTCTATTAATTTTCACGAAAATCATCACAATACCTAAAATCATCTTTAGCTGGTCTCATAAAACAACGGTCTCCAGTTTCAGCGCAGCAAATTGGCAGTAATAGCCATCAACAACAGCACAGCAGTAAGTGTTTCCCATTTACGCCCAGATGCGTCTGTTTTGGTGAGTGTATAATGAATGTCCTGCCCTCTATTATCTGTAGAGTCTGGATACGTTGGAATCGTCACTATAGCACAAGACGTACATTAACTCTGTGCAGCTACAGCAGGGACACACGTAGTGGCGTCGACCACACGTCAGCACATCACAAATCTGTCGTAAATAATCTGCAAGTATGAGGATGTAGAAGCATTTAAAAGCATGAGAAGGGCTGATGTGTAAAATATTTCGAGGTCAGATCAGGTGGATTTGATCAACTCATACAAGGCTTGAAATCAGCCTGCAGTAATTGTTCACCTGTTGGATATAATGTTTGGGTTCTACTTTCCAGCAGAACACTGACTTTGATAGAACAAAGTGACAGTGTCAGAAGTCAGGTTGTTATACGGAGGAGCTTTCTCGATATCAAATCACAGTGAGACTGAAGACTCCTATGGAGGCATCGCATGACACTCTGACAGTTAGACAAGCCCAGAAAACTTCAAAACCAAAGTGCCTGGGAGACATCTTTATTAGATGCCCGAACCACATCAGCTGGTTCCTCTTGACACATTTACACTACTTCGAGCTGCCTCTGAATGTCTGAGCTTCTCGGCTTCATAAGGTGAAGAGCCAATCCTTGTCCCAAAGTTACAGATCCAACTTCTTGACTTCCCTTACCTGCCTTGTTCCAACGTGCCAGAGGCTGGTCACCTTGGAGACCTGCTGTGGATATAGATACGGCCTGGCGCGAGATTTACATCACCTCCCAGCCACCCTACCAATGAAACTCATTTTGATCACTAGCCAGAGCGGAGGGTTGGAAAAAGGCCGAGTGGTAAATCAAAAGTTTTGCCCCCTGGCTCAGCTCCCTCTTTACCACAATGGTCTTGTACAACGCCTCCATTACTGGTGATGCTGCACCAATCCACATGTCCTTTCTGACTCCATTTGCTCATCCCAGGTGAACAATATCCCAAGATTCCTAAACTCCTTCTCTTGAGGCAGCAACTCAACCCCAATCCAGATGGAGCAGTCCACTGGTTTCTCGTAGAGAACAAGGCCTCAGCCCTCGCCTTAGAGGTGCTCATTCTGGTTGCTTCACACTCAGTTACAAACTGCCACAGCGCGTGCTGAAGGTCGTGGTCTGAAGAAATCAACAGAACCACATCACTGCAAACAATACGCATGCAATTCTGAGATTCTCAAACTGAACACCGTCCTCTCTCCAGCTGCACCTGCAGATCCTGTCCATGAATATCACAAACAGGATCAGAGACAAAAGGCAACCCTGGCCGAGTCCAACACCTTCCGGAAATGTGCTTGACTTTGTGTTGAAAATGCGGCTCTTATGTTGACTATACAAGGACCAGACGGATTTTTGAAAATCAGAACCACCACCCCAGTATGCAACTCCACAGGCCCTGTCCCAGACTTCTATGTGACAATGAAGAGGTGTGTCAACCAAGATAGTCTGACAATACTCAGAACCTTCAGCATCTCAAGGTGACTCTTGTCCACACCTGGCAGCTTCTTAACTACTTCAGCAACCTCTGCCACAGATATGGCCAAGGCTTCTGCCAAGTCTTCTGACTTTAGCCAGCTTTAGGAGGTCCTCCAAGGGCTCCTTTCACTGTCCGACAACTGCCTAAGCTTGGCTTCTTTTCCTGAGGCGCTGAGCAGTTTACTGGAATTTCCTTGAGGCTGACCAAAACACCTTCTCCACGGCCTTACCGAATTCCTCCCAGACAGCGTTTTTGCTTCCACAACTGCAGCTGCAACCCCTTTGAGCCTCCTCTGCCCTCCTGCCTGGGACCCGGATTCAATCCCAGAAATACATCTCAAGGAGAGAGGAGGCCACTTACCACTCGATCGCAATATGTGTTGCCCGTCATTTGTGTAGTGCTCTTTGTGTACCCTTAAGTTGTGCTCATTTGACAGAGATCATAAAATACAGACAAGAAAACATCTGACATCTGCTTTCAAACAGCTCTGAAGCCACGATGTCTTGTTTTGTTGCCTCGACTCCTCTCTAATCGTCTTATTTCTTTCCCTCCTCCACACATCGGTAGAAGAAGTAGTTGCGTGTGAGTGTGTGTCGCTGGCTGCCAGATATAATCACAGCCAGCCATAAAAAGTGACTGCAAACATCCGCACACACTCGCATGTATGCACAGAGTCATGTTTCCATCACTTCATTGACTTAAAAGCTTTTCCTGGTGACTGTATCCGAGCTTTTACACAAACTGAACCTAAACCGAGCCTTTGCCCTAAAATTTAATGATGGTTTCTATCCAGTGGTCTAAGCTAAACTAAGCAGTCAACACCAAAGCAGAGCATTTCTACCGTAAACAGTCTGAAAAACACAGGTTCAGGCTTTTGAGGTTTCACGGACCTAAGGAACCAATTCTGCCAGCTTGCAGGGTGGACTTTCTGTTTCATTATTCTCCTTTAGAATTAGTTTGAACACATACGGCTGAAGTACTCCAATATTACAAGTTGCTATAATGTAGGGAGGAGCAGTTTACAAAGCAGCACATTGTTTCGTTGTCTGGCCTCGAACACCTTCAGGTGCCCAAAGCTCGTCACCAGGATTTCCAAATCTAGTATGTTCACATCGAGGGGTGGTGTCGGCACCAGATGACCACATGCACTTTTACAAATATAATACACACTGAAAGCAACACAGGAGGAAAGAATGTGGACTGTGTGAATGTGCAATAAGCTAAACCGAGTCATTGTTCCATCATGAAAGCATGAGTACATCCGGCTGAAATTACAACGGTGTATTCCATTAGACCAGGGTGTCCAATCCTGGTCCTCGAGGGCCACAGTCCTGCATGTTTTAGATGTTTCCCTTCTTCCAACACACCTGATTCACATGATCAGGATCGTTATCAGGCTTCTGCAGAGCTTGATGATGAGCTGATCATTTGAATCAGGTGTGTTGGAAGATAGAAACATCTAAGACATGCAGGATTGTGGCCCTCGAGGACCAGGATTGGACACTCCTGCATTAGACGCTTGGTGGCCTGCACGTCATTGTTTCTGCTGCAGACCGAGCAGTGTCAGAGCTTTTACCAAAACATAATTCAAACTGTGAAGCAGGCTTGCTGCCAGTCTCATAAGGTCAACAAGACTTCTGTCTGTTTTAGGACTGTAGTACTACATTAAGGACAGGTGTGCTCGAACTTCAGCAGGTGCTGGAAGGGTTTGGAGGGGACGTCATAGATCTGTATGTCGTAGACTCCAGAATCAATCAGTTCGTCAACAGACTCTTCAGCTCTGCTAAGCATGCGCAAAAACCTGCATGTATTATCACGCCCAGCCTTATCGACGTCTTATTTGAGGCAAAAAAAAAACAACGATGCTGACACACTTTGACTGATTGACAAAAGAGAAGGAGCTTTATTTGAACAACAATAGAGGCACAAGACCGAGGTCTCTCTGCTTGTTCTGTTCCGTGGTTGCAGGGTTGGATATTTAATGCTGTATTTGCCATGTGCCATTTCTAAATCTCTGTAGGAACCACAAAATCCCAACTGAATAACCTCCAGGGAACAGAAAGTGTTTGGCAGTCCATCAGTCCGGCGCCACAGTGGCACACATACTGTCCACTGCTTCTCTTAATCTAACGTTCGGCACCGTTCCTGCTGCGTCATATGTACAGTGGAATCATTTTAAATTAACAAGGTGGCAATCCCAAACCTAAAAACAGCAGTAAGATCCGGGGCTGCCTCGGTCCATTTAGAAATGCAACTGCATGACGAATCATTCACAGCACACGCAGCAAATCATAAAAAATAAAACTGTATAAAAAAATACTCTCTTAAATAAATCAAAGCAGAGACGAGACGAGAATCAAACGAGGAATGCTTGATGTACATGTATGTGCAACTGTGGTTGCCAATAATCTATCGACCTGATTCACAGTGGACCTCATGTCCATCTATAAAAGAAGAATTACTCTTGCTTTTATTCACCTTTGCTCACATTTCTAGTCCCTTTTTGGAATGACAATGAAATGATGTACCAGAACAGCTAATCATAATCATATTGCTAAAAAAAAAACTAACTGCAAAGAAGGACCATAAAATATGTTACACATTAATTTATCTAAAACAGGATTTTTGAGGTTTTTCTTTAAAACAAAACAAAAAAAAAAATCAAGTACTTTCAAGTCCCTATTACAAAACAAAACCTTGGTCTGAGACTGAACACTGAACTAATTACAGTGAAAATATTACCACATATCATAAGTGCAAAACGATGCTGATGAAGTTTACAGGCTGCTAAAGTGGTTAGAAACGTTACTGTATGTGCAACTAAAACCGACACGGTCACCAAGCAAACTCTTCTGAGGTCGTCGGCGTAAAGGGAGGCCGGTCTGCTCTTGGTGCCTATTTTCCAGTAAATCGCACGGTCGGCGACGAGACGAAGACACAAATAAAAGTGCTGCAGTGAAAACGACGACCAAGCGAAATCAAAAAAAGGTCGAAAGAAAAACATTCCGTCGTGAAGGTAGTAAAGAACTCTGGTGATGTTTCACTTTGGTAGTTTGTTGTGCTCGAGGCTTCAAACTGTGAGCAAACACCGTCGGAGAGTCGCTCAGTCAGACTAGCGTTACCTCGTCTTAGTCTAAGAAGACGGCTCTGTAGGACGATGTTCTGACCGATCAAAGGAGGGTCTTGTTTTTGTAGTTTTGTCAACATTTTAAAACAAAGAAAATCCTTGAAACTATCTACGTCAATGAACAACCAGCAGCACATTCAAATTAAAGAACTAATGGTCTTCTCAGTGTTAACTCTAGCAAACCTGCTACACGTTCAGAAAAAACAGATAAGTTATACTGCATAATGGCTCCTCCAATTAAATACTCTTTTGTGATTAACCCATCAGTCCCGTTGCTCACAGTCTGAAAGCACAGCAACCGTTTCTGAATTGTCAGCCTTCAATGTGGACGGTTTATGTTCGTATTTGGAAATTTCTTCTGTCCACCCGTCGGAGTCGGTGGATCTGAGGCTCGACTGGAGGAAGACAATCCCTCAACAGCTAAAACACAAGTAAAACACAACTTTCACTTACTGGAGAACTGTGTTCCCTACTAGGGAATGTTTGTCTGGTTGTGGATATCCTGAATGTGTTTGAGAATGCCTGAACGCTAGTAGGAACGGACCAAGACAAAGGCTCAGGACCAGGCTGAACAAAGCTTGGGCGACCGCAGAACGTCCGAAGGCGGGTCAAATAGTGATGTAGTGCTGTCGCAGTTTGGCCACGAGGAACTCGTGGGTTAAATTATGTCTCGTTATGATTCCAACAATCTGAAAAAGATAGCAAATGGTAAACGTGAGTTGGCTCAGACTCAACATCAATCATCAGTTCGTCTTTGGTGTCTCATGATCAAATACGACTTAAAAACTTGGAGGAACTCAACTACTTACTTCTCCAATGGCATTGACCACTGGTAAGTGTCTCAGGCCCATCGTCCTGAACAGGTTGAACACCTGCGAGATGCGGGTGTTGGGTGAAACGGTGTAGGGACACGGGTTCATGTAGGGGGTGACATCCTGGAAACACAGGGATACATGCGTGTTTCTAATCAACTCATGATCTTGTTGAATTTAAGAATTGTCTCACTTGGCGGTCTTGTCGCTCATACCACTATCATGCGAGGGTTGAGCAGGGCGAGGTCGAGGTCGTGGATGTCCGGGAAGCGCGGGTAGTCCTCAGTCATCTCTGCATACGACAGCCGGGGCTGAGTGGCGCTCTGTCTCAGAAGATATGGAGAAAGGATTCATAAAAAGCCATAACTTTACTATACACAGAGCTTAACAGATGTATCAGACCACCACCCAGTGTCAGGTTTATGCCACAGCTGCCCTAAATTAACAGCATTTGTAACTACCTAAATCATTTCTTATGTTTCTGTAATGGTTCATACACCAGTATGTAGAAGCTCTTTAACCAAAATGACGTTGTTAATGTTAGAATATAATTATTATTGTTATCCATAAATTTACTGTTTCACAAAAAAAAAGAAAAAATAGTGAAAGTATATTACTATGTCTTAATTAAGATGTCAAATTATAGTTATTTACTTGCATTCCTGAACAGAAAATTTCGTTTTAGTGGTTGAATGTGATGCTTGATTAACTTCTGACTTCTCAGAGAAGCTCAGAGGCTCAGATTTAGAAAGGTGAACTCAGTTTGAAATTCCTCATTCCTGTTTAAAATGGTACAACGTGGAGACATGAGTGTGAATTAAAGCCCTTCATTATGCTGGATGGTCTATACACATATACACACTGTTGCCCATGAAGTTGGAATAATTTGATGACACCATGTCTTAACACTTTGATCCATGTCGGGGTGGCCAGACTCAACATGCGTGGCATTTGAAAGAGTAATACTGGACATTCTTATGTATGAAATCCCCTCGAATATGTGTTTCCAGTTAAAGGGACCAAGGTTGAAAAATGGAACCAAATCAATCCTATTGTTCAATAACCCCAATGTAGACACAGTTTGCAAAAGTTAATTGTGGTTTAATTCTTACTGTGATATGTTTGTATGTATTTTGTGATATCAATAAAGTTTTGAGAAGATGTACACTTTATCCATAAAGAATAAATCACATTAACATAATTGTTTCATGAGAAGAGGTTAAAAAAAAAAACTTTATTCCAACTTTATGGGCAACAGTGTGTATATATGGTGCTAAACAAACTGGACAGGTGGTCAAATACGTTTGTTAAACGCTGCACACGTGCTCCGCTGTGCGTGACTGACCGACTGGTTCTCGGCGTAGCAAACCCCTCGAATCAGCAGGTTGACCAGCTGGGAGCGCAGGATCAGGCCGTGGAAGGTGAGCGGTCTGAAGCGCTCCTCCATGGTCCACTCCTCGCTGGGAGACTGGTCGGGGTACAGGTTGGGGTAGGGAGCATGTCTGCACGGCAGCAGCAACAACACAATTATTACGGGAGGGTCGACTGTTTCAGCACTAAAGACACAGACGGAAGCCAGATTTTCAACACAAATCCCTCTGAAGGAATAAACACTCAGCTCGATGTAGCATTCATAATGTTATGTATTACATTGAACTGCTGTGATGTACAACGGTATGGAATTATTAACACAGCAATCAAAGAAATACAGTGAAATGGAACACTTACTGAGTCTGAATAAATCAAACTCATGTTAAATGACAGTTATTTAACGTTTTGTCTGAATGAACTGTTCTGGGATGCGTCCTGAATTTTCCCGCCACATTAGAGTCACATCACAACACTGATATCATCATTGGTTTTAAAATGTACTCATAAAGTCAAAGGATTCCATTTTTCTTTTTTAATTTTTTTTTTTTTAAATTTTATTTTGGGAAAGCAATAACGATACAGTATGCTTAGAATTTATTTTTAAAAAATCCTGTCAGGAGTGGGTATGCTCATGCTGCCACCTCGTGGTAGGACTGAGTACTGCAGCTTGTAAGAAAACACTCCAGAAAAGGATCAGCTAATTACACGATTAGATGTCACTGATTAAGCACACTTAGGTGTAGATTTCCTTTAACCACAGAGTGACACATTAAGTAGGAGTCTGGGTGTCGTTCACGGGAATCGTTTGACATTAAACACCTACTTTCCTGCATTCTGATGCTTTCTATGCACTGAAATCTACACGTATGTATTTAGAGCTATGCAGCTGCACAACAGAGTGTGAAACTCATCACATAAGAGCACGTTAAAGTTTGTTTCTAAGCACTTTATAACCTGGTAATGAAGTGTGCTGCTGCCCTCTGAAGTACACGACACCTCCTCGCTTTGTTTTCAGTTAATGCAGCATTAAAAAAAAATCATGCCACAACAATTCAGTTAAGAATAGTCCTTTAAAGTCCCCAAAAACCGGGCCACTAACCGGTACCGGGCTGCACAGAAAGAATAACAACGTTTTATTGGTTTATTTTAATTCCGGCAGCATGTGCAGGGTGTTTCATTTTGAAAAATGACGAGCTCGTCTTCCTGTCACTGGACTCGGTCAGTTTTCAGCTCGGCCGGTAAACGAAGTCGTTACTGTAACCACTACCAGAATAAATACAAAAAACAAGCTTCTCTGGAGAGACAGAAGAAAAAAGTAAATACATATTTAGCAATAAAAAGTAATTTTAGTTGTTTATGACACTTTTTTAATAGAAGAAAACGATTATTGTTTGTTATGAGTGCGGTTTGTAGAAAATTGTCTTGCTTGAAATCGGTCCATGGTGCAAAAAAGGTTGAGTAGTGGTGGAGAGTAGTGTCCTGTAGTTCTCTTTCTGTGTTAGATTTAGTCTTTTTGTGGTCATTTTTCATGTTTTGTATCTCCTTGTCATGATTTTGCATGTCTTAATGGTTACTTTGTGTCTCTTTGCAGTTACTTTGTGTCTGTTTGTGGTCACTTTGTGTCTCTTGGTGGTCTTTTTTTTTGCCTCTGTGGTCATTTTGTGTCTCTTTGTGGTCATTTTGTGTCTCTTTGTTGTCATTTTGTGTCTCTTTGTTGTCATTTTGTGTCTCTTTGTGGTCACTTTGTGTCTCTTTGTGGTCATTTTGTGTCCTTTTGTTGTCATTTTGTGTCTCTTTGTGGACATTTTGTGTCTCTTTGTGGTCATTTTGTGTCTCTTTGTGGTCATTTTGTGTCTCTTTGTGGACATTTTGTGTCTCTTTGTGGTTTGTTTTTATAGAAGCACTTTAAGGCTTTTGTACTACAACAGTACAGCAATTTACAGTTAAAAAAAAGACTGTAACTCAGTGTGTTCTCAGCTCAGTGGTCTATCAGCCTCCATGAGACTGAACCCTGAACAGGCAGGACGCTGCCTTTCCATCGGTGCTGTACATCCGTCCTACCTTCTCTCCAACATCTGCTGCAGCAGGTCCTCTCCCTCCTCCGACGGCTCCACCACGGCGCTCTGCTCGTCACAGACGTTCCTCAGCTCGCTGGACGGGTACGACTTCATGGACTGGCAACGGCGCCGCTGTTCCCCGGCGCGAGACACGACGCTGGATTTCTGCATGATGTGAAAGTCAAAGGGCAGGTTTACGCTGATGAACCAGTTCACATTTCACTTGATGCTAAAACCCGGCATCCACAAACCAAACCGCTAACAAAATTCATATTTACTCCTGCTGCGCCGACTTCCTCCCACAGTCCAGACGCACACATGACAGGTGAGCTGATGTTTTCTAAAATGTTGTACATGTTGGTCTGCCTCTTTCACTCTGCTGCCTCCCCAAGATATGGACGATGGACAGGCTGTTATTTGCTGTTAATTAGCTTCAAAAATGGTGTGCATTTGACTGAAGATGCATCACAGATCAAGTTCTCTATATTATACAAGTAGATGAATTGCTTTAATGAATGAATCACTAACATGTGATTAATCCAGTATTTCTGTTTTTCTGGTAAATTGCCTTTTGCACATTTTTTCTTCTACTCTTGCACAATATTTGCACCACATGTAAAACACCTAAACATTCTTATTTATAGACCTTCACATTTGTAAGTCTGTTATTTATAGGTTACCACACATTTAGACTTCATCACGGGACATTTTTACGTAGAGTGTGCGTTACACTTGTTGTGCATTTTGTAATATCTTATTGATTATTTTTACTTACTGCATATTTTTGCTTATTTATCTGCATGTATGATGGTGGTAACTTTACTCTTTCTCCTCTAACAACTGACTTTCCCTGGATTTCTATTCTATTCTATATTCTGTTCATTCACGCTGAAGCAAAAATCCTGAGATGTTAAAAAATTTAACACAAAGCCGTTGCTGACATTGCTGATTGGAGACATCACTCAGAGGTTTCAAGTCAACAAACACTTAACTCCTCTCTTAACTGATCTCTCTCTGGGTATGATGTTGAGCTACAAAGGCGTAGTTGCACACCTTGAAGCGGATGTTGTTGCTGATCAAGATGTTGCCCTTCATGAAGTCCTGCTCGTTCTTTCGGTTTTCGGTGACCACGGGGAAGGCGTGGTAGACGGTGGTGCGCAGGATGCTGACCAGGGACTGGACTCGGGTGTGGGGGTACACGTAGGTCAGGTTGGGCTCCATGATATCGCTGGCTGTCAGCCTTGGAGGAATGAGGGGAACAACACATGTCACAGCACAGAATGAGAATGATGCTAGATTTTGGGTATTTAAAGGTTTGATCTGGAGTTGCTGACATCTGACATTCAACATCTAACTGGAGGAAATTCAAAACCAGGTCCCAATACATACACAAAACATAAACAAAGCAGCTTAAATATCCTGCTTGGAGCAGAGGATGATGCCGGACAGGATGACAATCCAGCAGCCATCACTTTACATCAAACAAAATCAAAACTAAAAGCATGCTGGTTTCACCTTGGACTCGGATGTTTTGGGATAGACGCACCAGGAAAGGAATAAAGAGACACGAGCAAAAGGTTTGTGTGGTTTTAGACGTACAGTTGAAACTAGAAGTTTACATCCACTGTATAAAAAGATGCATAACTTTTTTTTTTCCTCACTTTCAACGTTTCCTGTTTCAGGTCAGTTAGGATTACCAACATTATTTCTATTTGCTAAATGCCAGAATAATGAGAGAGAGAATTTTTTACTAGTTTCTATACATACAGTTTGTAGATGCACACAGGAACAAAGACCTTCGTTTGTGGAGACATGTCCTGTGGTCTGATGGAACTAAACCTGAACTGTTTGGCCTTAATGACCATCGGTACATCTGGAGGAGAAAGGAGGAAGCTTGAAGCCTGAGAACACCATCCCAGCTGTGGAGCACGGGGGTGGCAGCATCATGCTGTGGAGGGACTGGTGACCTTCACACAATAGATGGCATCATGAGGAAAGAACATGA